ATACGGCAACAGTATCATTCCACGGGCTCCCCTCGCCCCATCGGATTTCCATGGACAGCCCGACCCGCCGGCTCCCCGGGCATAAACAGCACGTAGTCGGGAAGCTAAAACACCACGTAGCATTATCGATGTAATCACCGGATAAGCTAACAAGTTGCCAAGATTTTCACGCATACTCCGTTGCACTGTGCGGCGCTAGAAGTGCGGGAAACTCGGGAAAGTGGGGAAAGTCGGGACTGCTTCGAAAGCGTGTGGAAAACAAAAAAGTTGCAGTGCAAACTTTGCCCACTCCAAGCCCACCTCCACCTTGCCAAGTCTGGTTTATTCCACTCTTGCTGTTTTTTTGACTGGCATTTTATAGTTTCGCAGTCGATGGAGGAGAACAAAACTGATGGGGGCCCTAGGAGAATGGCCATTGGAGTAGGAGTCACCCAGCAGCGTACTTAGTATGGATAAACTGTTGTTATAACTAAAAACGTTCAAGTTATTGATACTGCAAATATTGTGCGGAATTTGTTTCCATTCATCCAACTGCAACTTCCAACGCATTCCCTGGCGAAAGTACTTTATGAGCTCGTGTGTCTCCCACGGGTGCTGTGCCATGATAGAGAAAGTTGGTGGACCGTTAACCACTGGAAAGGAATATCAATTAAGGGGATTTACTTAAGCCGCAAAGAACTGTATAATTAATTTTTATACTGCAGGCAAGCCTGTCCGTTGCCACACTGATTAAAGGTGCTTGCCGACACCATAAATACGTACTCGTAAGTTACTTATTAATTACAAGCAGCTTTCGCTTTTTAATCACCGATTGTTAACGGGAAAGCCAGGCGCTGCCTTCCACCAGCTCTACCCAAAGCTCTATTCTCAAGATAGTTAATAGCCGCCTTATAAGTCATATTGGAAATGCCCTGGGGATGGCCCGAAACCTCGATAGATCATAACGCAATCCTTTTCGACTGAATGAGCCGCCAACATGCATTGCAGATGCCTTCCTTTTTGCCCACTTTGTTCCACTTGACTTGAATCCCTTGGTTGCCTTCTTTGGGTCAGCTCCTCGACGGCCACCGAACTGATTAGGAAAGCCAACAGAAAAATAAAGGATAACAAATCGATAGCCAGGACGGCCAGTGTGGGAAAACAAGGGGATTGCACCTCGTATTAAAGAGGGGGCAATTTATGGCCACACTTGGGGGAATACCGAACACGAAATTGCAAATATTTAGCCATATACTTATACCGCAGCTCACGCAGATATACAAGTTTAAGTGCACTTTCCAAAATGCTCTTTCAGTGGACAGTTTCAAGTGCTGTGTAAATCTGGCCTTTGGGGCTTTCACTTTTAGTCCCGTTTCGAAAAGGGCGAAAGGTGTCATTTGTAAAATATGTATTTCTATTAATCGAAACAGCAAAGTATGCTACCCTCCATAACTTAGCTAAACTTGGCCAACGCAGGGAGACAGCCATGGCTTGCCAACTGGTTTTCGCTCAGTGTACGCTGCTCGAGTGCACATGTGCTCGAATGTATGTATCTGTCTATTGCTCATGTCTATGACAGCGGAGGCGAAGCCGCAGCGACGTGCCGCAAAATATTCGCCAAAAGCATGCAACCCGGATTGGAGGGGCGGCCAGAAAGGGGATGGGGCCTTGCAACATGTTGCCTTTGCCCTGTTGTCTCGCTATATTGTTTCGACGGCATGCGCATCAATTTCTAGACAAATTCAGCACACACCAACTCAAAAGGACCGACAAAAAGAAGTACTTGTGTGTAGGTACGTAGCATACGTGGATACGGGCAGGAGCCCCAAAAAGCAGCGAATCCAGTCGGTCGTAGGTGGCTCTGGCTGCGCTTCATGTGTGCAATATCAAATTTGAAAACACAAACACAACTCGGATGGCCGCAGACACAGACGGAAACCAGGAGGGGATGCGGAGATAATGGGGCGGGCGCCAAGCGCCAAGGATTCCCCCGGTGCAGGCGCTTAAGAAGTTTCAGACATGAAATCAATTTGTCTTGCAACTCCCACGAAAACGAAAACGAAAAGGAGCCAGGAACGGCAAATGCAACAGCGAGGGGAATCCCCGATCCAGGACCCCAATAACTAAATGAAAAGAGCCAGAAAACTGCTGCGAGAAAGCAGAGGCGGTTCCCAGATATTATCAACACGAATCGGGAATACACTTATCCAATCGATGCAGGCACACTTGCCATTCGGGTGAGTGGAAAGTACAGGTAAAAATAAGGAGGAACTCGAAGTGTACTCAATACAGCTAATCTAAGGTCGTTACTATGCAATTCTTTCCAGTTTAAACGGTTTAAATATGTATGCATTTAACAATACGGGTATATAATTGAAGTCGTAATCAAAAGTTGCCTTGATTGTTAATCTGTAGCTTTTAGCATGGGATAAGCCACACAATTGGAATCGTATCATTCTGGTCTCTTGGCTATAAAAAGGGGACTACTGTTATTTAACCGAATACTGGCGATGCCCTGCCATCGAAGTAGCGTCGAATGAGCGGGCAGTTCCTACTCGCCTTCGCATCCGCATTCACATCCGCACTCACATCCGCATTCACATCCGCATTCACATCCTCATCCCCATCCGCATTCGCATCCGCATCCCCATCCGCATCCCCATTTACATCCGCATTCACATCCGCATTCACATCCTCATCCCCATCCGCATCCCCATCCGCATCCCCATCCGCATCCGCATCCGCAGGGCTCGAGTCGGAGTCGGAGTCAAAGGCAGTCATGTGGCAACTCGCCTGCTGGGATCCACACATGTGAAACGGTTTGCGGTGTTGCAATAACTTGTATTTTAAGTTTACTCACTGCTGGGATTCAAAATTTAATTTCATAGTGCGATGCGTTGTTATTATTTTGCATAATAACATTTCTGGCCCCAGTTCGGTTCACTCAACCGAGCTTACTGATGGCTTGGGGTTGGAAATGGGCGTGTTCCTTGATGGCTCGCTAGTTTGGGTATTTTCGTAGATTCCAGAGTTTCGGCGGGAGTGAAATCTCGAAATTGGAGCTTGGCCTGCGGACTGACCGATTGTGCAATCGAATCAGGCCTATTATACCCCGTTTGGCGCATTAGCAGTACGTACCGGATGGATGTGGATGCGGATGCGAATGCGGAGGTGGAGGCGGAGGTGGAGGTGGGCCAGCCGATCCCATGACCATGCGAACCGGACTTCGACACCAGACACTAAATGCCTCATCAGCATTCCGGTGAGTGTTTATCTGAGTGTGTGAGTGGATTTGCGTTCGGGTTAATCAAAATGTGACCGATGGCAACGACAGTTGACCGCAAATCAACGGGACGTCCGGGCGGCCCATTACCCCAATAATCAAGCCCGCTAAGGCATCTTTTTAATCGTCCTTAGCAAAAGTCCTGGGATAAGCAACTGAGCTGTGAAGTGCTTGTATGCAACTCGAAATTGGCTAAACCTCCCATCCTTTAGCACACGAAAATCTGTAGAAGCTAGTTTAGATCAATTGAAAGCGCGGAAATTTAAATATCTGAAGGATTAAATCAATTAATTGAAGCGACCGCCAATTCTTGAGGGCATTAGCCAGCCCTCCTCCGGCTGAACTCCAAAATGAATCCTGACATCCAGAACTTTGTATCGCATCGTGTGGGTCCTGTCGATAAAGCAACCACATAACGGCAGCCACATGGGAAAAGTGGAAAGTGCGGTGCTCAAGGGGAATATCCAGTCCACCGAGCTGGTTTTAGAGCGTCGAAATTGCCTTTTTATTGACAATTCACAGCACGCGCCGTGCAAACAGATCATCAAAGGTTATTACGAGTACGGAAAAGGTCCTTTTGTTGCTGTTGTAAATAGATTCATAAGCAGCACTACATGTCGACAATCGTGCGACAGGAAAATAAGCCAAGAGAAATCCTGCAAGTGAAAGTGTTAACACTTTGGGGACCCAATACTCTCGCTGCAAGGATACTGGATATACTCGTATGTGTATGTATGTGCCTGCATTTCTTCGCGGGATAAAGGCGAATTCCAGTCTGAATGTCAAAGTTTGAGCCCGGCAGTACTTTGAAATATTCATAAGAGTGTACACTAAGGAAAACAGGATTAGAGTTGAAAACTAAAACCAGCAGACGGAGTATAAATGTATGCCGGCTAGGCAGCAGCACGGAGTGAAATAATTTAAGCAAAAAAACAACAGACACACGGTAGCTGAGAAGCGGATCCTATTAAAAAAAAACCAGAGCGCAAGAAGCCAAATCTCTATGTTGAAACATTTTCTTTTCGTACCCGATAGACACCAGAGTTTTCCACGAACTTGGCCACCCTTACAAGTGGAACTCACACACAGTCATAAAGCAATAAAGCGGAATCATGTGCAGAAATTTTTATAAGTTGGGTATATCATCCAAGTGGCAAATGCCCCAGGATCTTTGAAATGCGTGGAGTGGCGGATTCGTGGGGCAAGACAAGTGCAAGTACTTTCCACTTTCTTTGGCCAAATCCCAGCAAAGAGCTTAAGGTTTCAGCTCAATTGTTTTGCCCGACTTTATTTCATTGCCATTTTTATATTTCCACATCTCGAGTGTGCCGGGAAAGGCTTTAAGCGAAATTCAAATGCATATTTACGAAGAGGAGAAACTTGAAAATTGAATCTTATAGTTTCAGATACTGATAAACGAAATATAATATTAAAAATATTAAAACTGAAATCTACAATTTATTCATTGGATCATTCGGAATGGCTTTAGACAGTCGTGAACGCTAAGTTTTATAACGACGATGTTTATTTGTCCAATATTCTAAGATCATCAGTTGGCTAGGTATTTCCCTTATGAAGGGTTTACACAACTCCACTTGGGGCAGTAGCTGCATCGCAGTTTGCACAATATTGTTGTTTGTCCATCGAAAACATGGAACTGCAAAACACCTGCGATGCATCCGATTCCGTAGAAATCTCTGAAGTATATATAGGGCTCGGGAGCAGTTGGAGAAGTCAGTTGAATTTGCCAAGTCAATCATCTACAAAATCAAAATGCGTGTTTTCTTCCTCGTCGTTCTGCTCGCCTTGGTGGCCCTGTCTGCTGTCCAAGGACGTCGTCCTCCAGGACCTCCGTTTGGAGGACCACCCCAGGGACCACCCCAGGGACCTCCTGAGGGACTTCCCCAGGGACCCCCGCAAGGACCTCCCCAGGGACTACCGCAAGGACCTCCTCAAGGCGGCAACTCATCCTCCTCCGAGGACTCTTCCTCCCAGGAGGGCTCCAGCTAGGCAGCCGCCTAGGAACTCGATCGCCGAGTCCTCCACAGAAAAACATATTCAAATCTTTGAATAAAGATATATATTCCGTTTATTTCAAAACAAAACCGTCCAGTGATTCCATTAGCCGTTCAAATTTCCATTTCTAACTCCGAGTAATGGTAACTCCGGCCAGAGGAATGAGAACGACAACTGGCAAGGGTATGTGTGTGTGGGTATGGGGGCGTGGCTCAAATCGGCTGCCTAAATAAGAAATCATTTTATTTGAAAAGTTTCCCTTCGGCACGCCCCCTCCAGCTGCCGCCCCCACTCTTCGCTGGCAGAAGACGGCGACGTCTGCGTTGGCGACACCAGCAACATCGGGCGAAACAAAAGCAACAAGGGCAACAGCGGTACAACAACAATAAGGGCAGCTGCAAGCGGTTCGAAGTGCCCTCACGACTTGGAAGTACCTATTATACCCATAAAATAATAATCAAAGCTTCTAAACTATAAAGATGGAGAATCAATCAAATATGGAAAAAAATCTTTTTTGGCTAAATATGAATTTAATACTACGTACGGCAGAGGCTAACTACTTAGTTGTAAATGAATGCCTTTCTAAACCATTTTGCGTATTTTAATTAGGATAACTTATAAATCAAAGGATATTCCCTGATACACCAACATCTTATACGCACGAAGCACTAACTTAACTAAATATGCACTTAAATAAAAACAAACGATAACTGGTTTCAAGACAATTAAATTATACAAGATATTCTACGGCGATTTCCATCACCATTTCATCCATTTAGAGCACAAATAATTTGGTCCACTTTTAATGGGTAATCAGATAGCGCATATCCTGCCAAGAAGTGACTGCCGAAATAAGACCAAAACGATGAATAGCAAAGGCAACAAAGTTAAACTGTAACAATAACCAAAGTCAAAGTTTGTCGGCAAAGTTTTCGCCTCCTTCGTCCTTGTTGCTCTCCTTGTTGTTGTTGCATGCGTGCGGCTGTGTGTGTGTGTGTGTATGTCCACAGGATACAAATTCATTTCAATTGGTTATATGTAGAGAAATGGGTTTGAGTGGCTTGGCTGAAGGAAGTTGAAAAGTAGGAACGACGAGGAATCTCTGTAAAATGAGTATGGTTTTTTCCCCGCATTTTATTTTATTTAATTTTTTTTGTGTTGTATTTTGGCTGCCATTTCTGTGTTGTACTTTTCAAGATGAAACAAGTTTCACGTGGACGGGGACCTTCCCCTGGGCCGGAAAGCCATCCTGCAGAAGGATCCTGGATTTTGGATTCTGGGCCAGGACATGCCGCATCGCATACCTGCAGACTTCGCTTCACTTTCCTTTGGCAGCGAAATGCCAAAGAAATGCAAATAAAACTTTTCTTTTGTTTTTCTTTCGGCATTTTGCCCATCGTGGTTTAGCAGCTTAACCCTTACAGGGCCCACACGCCCGACATCCGCCCACCGAGAAGGAACAACAAGAACGTGGAAATCACAGACAAAAAACGACGGTAACAACAAAACTGCAAAATTAAGTGTGGCAATTTTAATTTCACTCAAAATGCTACGGAATCGTTCAAATCAACAGTGCAAGGAACAAGTGTATGTAAGAAACATCTAACAGATTGCATAGTTACGCTTATATAGTATAATAACATTATAGTAATAGTAATATAGTGATAATAACATTATAATTCAGAACATATTTTATTTATCTATTAAGATGTTTATCTATTAACTCATATCTTTCGGAATATCTTTGTACTAGGAACACATTTATAAAAGCTGAACTGTAGTGTTGGGAAATCCGTGAGAAGTCGTAAGTTTTAAAACTTAATGTACATATAGATTTTTACGCTAGATAACCAATTTTAGACATATTTTTTATAAAAACTTATACTTTATATACTTATACTTTTATAAAAACCTTTAGACATAAGGTATTCCCCCGATTATCATATATTCTTTATTCAGCTAGTGGGAGGGCGAAATTGTAAAGTTATTTTGAAAAAAATAGAATGTGTTAAATAATTAAAACAAATGTTTCTAGACTATGCATGCTTTATCTCAACTTCCTTGCTTTTCTAGTTCCCGAGATCAAAACATTCATACGGACAAACAGATGGACGGATGTATAAAAAAAAACGTTTTAGGGCGATTTTTCTACGTGTGTAGCAGCCATTGCATTTTCTAACTGTTTATTTGACTCACGCCCTCTCACTTGCACACTCGCGCTGAAGCTTTCACACGCACACACACACCCACACACAGCCAGAGGCATTTGGAAAAAGTGTAGGTAAACAACAATTGAAGCACCACCAGCAAAAACTTAATTAAGCATTTTGATGTACAATGCTGCAACAAAACAAATTCCTCTTTAAATAAAGCACAGAAGCAATTTATTCCAATTAACAACAACAACTTCGTGCCATGCATATGTGCGAGCGAGCGCGATGGGGGACGGAACGCTACGGGCATCGCATGGAAATAATTGAACAAAAACACTTTCCAACACTGCAAATGACAGTTGCGTAAATTCCTTGAAAGTATTAGGAGTATTAGAAAAAGCAATAGACGTTGACTTGCGGAGAGAATAATGAATGTAAAAAATTCCTAGCCACCATCACCAATGCCAATGACATTGGCTTTTATTTCTGGAACAATTTATTTAGGCGTATGATGTATCATGACATTATACTGAGCGAAGTTCACTAATAAGTGGTAAGCCATAGAGCCCGAAAAGGAGTTTGGGTACTATCGGCAATTCTGTTCTATTCCAAAATGGGTTACGATGTGCCATCCCTTGACGTGTTTTCAACTTAATGTGTTTGCAAAGTGAACTTTAATATACAGAAGCCTAAGAAAACCACTTGTTCAAACATCCTTATTCATTGTGGAATATTCTTAGGTAATTCACACTCATGGCAAAGACACGACTGATGTTTTATAAACACCAAGTCCACTGACGCCTGGCCACAAAGTGCATCACATATCGATGGTTCGCAAATATTTAGCTCAGATATTGACTTAAGGAACTTGCTGATTCTTTTATGTAAGATCGAGGCAATCCAAACAGCTAGTAGAAGTTCTACGTACTTTGTTATAAGGTAAAAGTATTGCCAAGTTCTGAATGAAAATAGTTTTAATTAAATTGATTTAAAAACGCATTTATCCAGCAATTCGTTTTACAAGTAATTTCCGATATACATATGCATACGATTATAGTAGTTCAGTATACATACATTTAAATTTATAAAACTTATACCGTTTAGAAAAAAAGAAGAATGATTTTATTTTAAATAGACTCATTTGGAATAAACATTGTGAAAAAAGGTTTCCTTTGAAAAACATAATCATGAATCAAGAAATGTTTACAAACATTAGGTCTTTCCATCTGATGGAACCCCATAATGAAGGCCAATGTCAATTGCGAAGTGACTGACTTGGAAAGTGGAATGTACCAATCCACCAATCCACACTGACGTTAATTTGCTCAACTCGCAAACGTCACCGATGGAACACATGTGCCGCCGAGACTTTTCCCAGATGGTGGGTATATATACCGCCGGCAGGTGATGCCGAGATCAGTTCGAGTCGTTTACTATTCGATAACGAAATGCGTACCCTCATCCTTGTTACTCTCGTTGTTGTGGTCGCAGTGGCCTCCGCTCAAGGACCCGGAGGTCCATGGGGTCCACGTGGCCCAGGTGGCCCAGGTGGACCAGGTGGACTAGGTGGACCAGGTGGTCGTGGTCGAGGAGGACCAGGACGCGGCCCTGGAGGACCGGGTGGCCCTGGAGGACCAGCACGCGGACCTGGAGGACCAGGAGGCCCAGGAGGACCAGGTCGCGGACCTGGAGGACCAGGTGGCCACAGACCATGGGGACCGTCATGCAACCGTACCACATCCACAACAGAGGCCTCCACGAGCGATTCCACCACTACGGTGTCCTCCACCACAACGGAATCGTCCACCGCTTCCTCCACAGATTAATTTGCTTGACATGTTCCCGTTCGAGCTTTGCTTTTTGCTTTGCCGGGTTCAGAAATAAGTGTATATATTAAAGAGCGGATCTGTGCATACTAAAAAATCCTATTTTTACCCATAATATTTCTGAAATGGCGAGTAATACAAGTGAGCTTTTTTAGCCAAGTAAATCCTTGAGCAATAATAATTGTTGGTGCGCCAAAGGACCATCATCTTGCTTTCGTATACGGGCAACTTTCCGTCTCAAACCAGAAGAAATATTTGAGCCATTTAATTACCATGGCCTACACGAAAGCTGTTCGTGAGTTTAATAATAATAATTATAACTAATAATAATTAGTTAAATGGCATTATGCAGCGGAAGTGTTCAATTATTTACTGCCGATTAGGGAGTGCATTGAGGATATGAAACAAATCATTCCGCGGGGCAATTGGAAAGCCAAATTGTTTACCATTTAATTTCATTTGTTCAATTTGCGACACAACTTTCTGCTGCCCTTGCACACAAAAGGCACGTAAACGGCAGCCGACATCCAAGGAGAAGGTAAAGGAGCTTAGCAGGATGAGCCCGAGTAGCTGCAACAGGGTTAAGAGGCATTAAAAGCTATAAAACAACAGGATTATAGCTTGGCCACAACGAACACACACTCACTCAACTAGTTATGTGCAAGTGAACAATGAAGTTTTGTGTGGCTTCTCATAAATACTCCTGTTTTCAGATTAAGCCAGGATGCGTTCGTACATTTCGAATATCTGTTTCTTATAAAAATTCGATTTTGGTCTCGGTTTAACATTTATGTTCCATTACACGCATGTGTAAATGGGGCTTGTCTCCCTTACTAGTTTTACCCGCTACTCGTAGAGGTAAGGGGTATATTAGATTCTTTGCTCAGTACGTAACAGATATTATAGTGCATATATATTCTTGATTGGGTTCATTAGCCGAGCCGATCTGACCAGGTTCGTTTGTCCCTCCGTATGAAAATGGATTTTAGGGGCAATTACGCAGAGCTAGTTTTATCTAAATTAGTGTTATAATCAAGTTTAATATGCAATTTGGCCACGCCCACTCTAAGATCTACATATTGCAATATGTAGATATGTAGCGACATGGTACAGACAATAAATATTTTTGTAGGTAACGTCTAACGCAACACCTAAAATTCGCGAGCCACTCATTGTTGGGGTCCAAGTAACTTAAGTAACAAGTATCTGATAGTCGAGGCACTCCACTATGTCTTCATACTAATACTGAACGATCGTAGTACAACATAAATTAAATTTTTAACACAAAAAGCATTGAAAATGGTGAAAATTCTCTTCCAATGTTACCAAGATTCAAAAACAGAGAAAAAGAAAAAATTTGTGAATGGGTTCTCCAAATACCATTATAATATATAAGAATTTAACCAACTGAACTCTCAATTAGTAAGTTGACTTTTAATGCTAGGTAGAGCAATTTTAAGCAATTTTTAAGCAATTACAACAATGTACAATTTGTTAAAAAATGCTTCACATCTCTTCAGAAGATGCGTTAATATCCAGCAGTGATACTTGTACCTTTTTTTCTTGATTATTTAAAACGATCTTATATTCCCTTTGAAGTTTACACAGCGCATAATTCCAACCACGTTACCTATTAATTAAGTAGACATCGGACGGCAGTGGGTCAATGTTAGCGGGCCAACAATAGTTGGCCTTTACTCAATGACCACCAGTTACGTCCTTATCAAATCACGCTTCATCCATTTAACAATTAGCACCGATAACTAATTTATGGTCAGGATGCCGCATCTGGGAACGGTTCTGGTGAAAAGGGGCAAACGAGATGCGAGTTGATTGTTTTGGAGTGGAGCGTTTACACGTAATAACAATTACAAATGCGCGCGCTCCATAAATCAAGTGAAGCCATCTCCTGGAGATCTCCATCTCCATGCTGTCCGTCCCCCTTTCGAATGAACTGGCCAGAAACCCTGCCCCAATCCGCCTCCAACTGGCTCCTCCTGGGCACTAATTACAATTCAGGACGCGTTGCACTCGAAAGTTGTTGCTCATTCAACACTCGACTCCTGGCGCTGAGTGGTGGAGTCGGCGGGGGGATGGAAGTGGTGGGTGGTTGGGTGATGGGTGGTTAACTTCAAAGTGCCATCGCCTTCTGAATGACTATGGCCCCCAAAAGTGTTGTTGTAATTAAATTATGTGCCAAGTGACGTTCTCACAATCTTTCTCTTCTCCTTTCACATACACTTAAAAAATAATCCTGGATAAATGAAATGCTCAACATGAAAAAGGAAAACATACATAATACTAAACACAAACGCAATAAATTAATTTGTATTAAATGGTAAACAGTATTGAGCAAATGAATGCAAAAATATGCATAAAATATATCGGAAAGAATACCCCGAAAATATGGCACATAAATCTAATTACTCCACATAAGTATATGAATGTTAAACGGATAATAATAATATTATATCCGGAGTGTTTACTAACCAGAACCGAGACCCGATTTTCCCGAGTACAATGGATGTACAGGATGGCATTCGATGTTAGCCCTCCTTCGGGCCGCTTGTCGTCCTTTTGCTATCTTCTCAGATGTTGTGGCAAATTAAGTTTGCTTTTGTTCCAGATTAAAAAGGCATTGAAATGTCGACATCGGCATTGAAAGGGCGATGGGAGGCAGCCGAATGAGTGGGTGGTAGTAAGCGGCAGTTAAAATGACGCCTTCGGCCAAATTTAGCTAACTTTGTTAAGTTTGTTTTGGCCACGGGAGTCGAGTGTCGGCCGCCGCCTCCGAGTAGCTCCGCCGGATGATGAAGTGCCCAGCCGGCGGTGGGACCACAGATAAAGCCGGATGGTTGTGCGGATGATGGTGCTGCAATGGGGGCCAAGACGGGCAGAAATTAAAAATCAACTGCCGCGTGGGCGAACAAGCCGAGCACTTAAGCAGCAGACCAACTGAGTAATTGAAGGAGCTAATTGAAAACGAAGGGATAAAGGGATAACGGAGCTTTGGATACACAGAAAAACGTGGGGGGTACATTGCTGTGTGCTTTCATTTCCAGCACTCAGAAGTATAACCTCATATCCTAGTATCCTGGTGCCATCAAAGATATTAGTCCACTTAGCACAGCCAGGATATATGTTGGGTTTCGAATCAGTTTTCACCCACTTCAGCAAAGCCTTTAATTTGGTCAATCACAAACTACCGATACACCTACTTGAGCTTCTTGGTTTCCCCTAAGCCTTGCTAATATGAATTTAATCGTAACCCACGAGTACAATTTAATAAGCCGCACCCAAGGAGTTCCGCAAGACAGCCATCTTGGCCTAATACTATTCGATCTGTCCACTAACCAACTTTCTCAAGTGAGTGAGCTGCTGCTTAATAATGATAAGGTCAAATTTTAGACCACATGCAAGCACATAGTTCGTCGAGCAAACCTGTCCCAGGTCTTGGAGCTCCACCGCAGGATCTGGTTCAATGGTTTCCGCAATACACGTGGTATCAGGAAATGCTTAACTCCGTACCGAAATAGATCGTACAACCGTCACGTGGTTCACTTCCTTCGCAAGCCAATCATCACTCCTCGCATCCGCCAACTGGAAGCCGCATACATCCGTTAACATGGCCGAAACCATGTTCCTACCACCCTCCCACCAACAACCCTCCTATCCTTCCTATTGTATATTAATTAAATGAAATAATTAAAGCTAATTAAAAAGTAGCATTGATACAGGTGAACATATGGGCTGAACCTGTACTTAAGGTATTCCATTGGAATTATTAAGTTCCATCTATTTAAAAATTGGGTAAGATAATTAAACAATTTTTATTTTGGATTTATGCAATTATGTATATAATAAAGAACACCTTGACGAGAATCACTTCCCATTTGAATTATCTCAGTGTAGCGGAGTCGCAGTTAAAACATTAACTTCTTCTGCGTTTTAGATTCGAGCTGTGCAAATTTGGCCTACAAAATGAAACTATTTTGCATCCCTCGCCTTATTTCAGCTCACATTCCAAACGCTTTAAGATCTGCCTGATTATAAAATTGAAATTCTACAAAAGTTGACACCCAGTGGCCTTGTTTGGATCGAGGCAGCGGAGGCGCAGCCCACATTAATCAAATACATGTACTCCTATTGCAGGTGGAGTGGGCGGCAGGATGTGCCACTGTACAGGACTGCATGCTAATGCAAGGACTCGTCCCGATTCACATGCAGACCGGAGCGAAAGGCAAGCGAATGAAAACGAAAACGATAACGAAAACGAAATTAAAAGCTGCAAAAAACAATATACGAAATATATACACTCCACTAGCTCGGCAGGCTATTCAGTTTGGCATTTCGAATTCAACGCACATATTCCATTAAAGTCGTTGGCGTAATTTTAATTTCGGAATTGGTCCTTTTTCCACGAAAGCACACCAACAGCAGCTAGAAAGCAGCAGCTGCTTTAAGGACCTGGGATAAAAAGACGGCAGGATGTTAAAGGAGCGTTGCCAATCAAATTGAAATTTAATTTGCACAACAATGTGGACGCGCGCAGGGCTGGTGCGGAAAACTTGACCGTCGAACAGAAACACCCAAACAACCAAATTATTAAACCCCTTCTCCAGGCCCTAATCCCAATCCCATTCACCTAGTCGCCGCCCGTTAGCAGTCCATAAAATTGTGATTTACTCCCGTTGAGATTTCAATTACTGCCGCTTTATTGGCAATAAATTTTCGTATAAATTAAGCGGCCCAGCTCCCGATCCGATCCGCAAGGGTTAAGGTTAAACAAAGCGGCCAGTAGCCGCACGTAGACGACGCGGAAAGGTGAAGTCGGTCAGGAAGGGTCCTTTGGGTCAACGGAGAAGACAGCAATCTAGCCAAAAGGGCGCTCCGAACGGGGGTAGTTCGTATTGAAGTGGACTTGCGTGAGACATCTCTTGTATAACTAGCAAATACTTTACAAAATATATTTTTCATACAATGAAGTGTTTTTTAAGTAC